CATTAGCAGCATTACTGCAAAACTACATGTGCTCTTCATATAAGACACGTGAATCAGCAGTCAGCATCCGTCAAAACAAGCTGCATGTCTGTCTGAGGCAGTCTGCAAAGAAACAAAAAACTACAACTAACTGAAAAATCATTTAATTATCTATTAGTCTAGTCTTTGCAATGTGCACAAAGAAACTTTGGTCACCTTGTAGGTGCATAAAACCTATTTCTATAAAAAAAAACACATGTGAAATCATCTGAGGACATAGAATGAATCACTGCTAATGACAAATAAAGCATTCAGCACAAACTGTCCAAAGCATAAGAGCACTTTATATTAAATGTTTTGTAACTGTAACATAACTGTTACATTGTTATGATGTAAACATTTATATTTTGCAAAATATTTTTGCACAAAGAAAATGCCCAAAATTTTGCTCATCCTAACAATACGTGAGTATATGTTAGAGTGTGCATGCAAATTAAACCAAAGGGGGGAAGTTTGACCGGTTAACATGGTCTAGTTAGTCCCTGCTGGTAGATGCTGTAACTGCACAATTCTGCAGGCAAAAATTTCAACATTTTTCATTTCATTTTTACATCAGCTTGCATGTTCATAAAAGGCTACTTTCTACTTTTTGCTTTAAAAGAGCTATAAAACTCAGTCTGTTGTTTTCTATTTCCTTTTGCCACTACTGTTATGAAAATAAACAGTATTTAAATTATTTAATAACATTAAATGTAAGTACAGTATGAAACACAGTAATTACAATATTCAACAATGAATTGCTGCAGACAAATCAAATATATAATATTACAGTGGGATACTGCATTTGGTGATAACAGTTTCATACTGTTGTTTAAATAATACTAGAGCACGACCGATATACCATTTAGCCAATATTATCGGCTGATATGAGCCTGTAATTTTTTACATTTTAAATAATTGAATTTTTTATTTTTTTTTACAGAATATATAATGCAGATTAAATGCTTCTGAATGGTGTAATTACTTAGTTTGTCCAGCAGAGCACACTCCATTGTTTGCTACTGGCGACCCAGGTCAGTGTAGTGTAGAGATGCGCGGATGAGCTCAAACTTCACCAGAGTCCGCTGCTTCAAATTATCCACCCGCCACCCACCGCACCTATATTTGATCATCACATTACAATGATTCTAATTCTTAGTTTTGCATGATGATATGATGAATGGGTGGCTCATTTTTAACAGCAGATTCAGTGACGTTAGAGACTAGAGCTGATCTGAGCATCACGGCACGTGTCTGCGGCGCATTAAAGCCTGTGTTACAGCCACCTGAGCTGATCGCGGCCACTCAATGCTGGTGTTTATACCGGCCGCGCTGCTAAACATCACATGCTTATCACATCGATCACATCACATCGCACGGCGTGACAAAATACAATAGAATTCTATTGTATTTTGTCGTGCTGCTCGCATCAGGTGTTGAATAGAACCCATTATAATCAGTGATGTTGTCTACACTGGATGCAGTAAACTGATGCCTCGTTCTATTTATGACGTGCTGACACAAAGTTCAAATGTTTTTCAATGGTCGCTTTGTCACGTCCTGTTGCGGCGCAGACACGGTGTCAACATTGTTTGTCAGTACAGTCAGTAACGTAGCCGATTGAAACGGAATTTACTGTATAACGCGGAATTTCATGGAATTTGTCTTATTTTTGATGAATAAAAAACAGGTCAGTAGATATATATATATAACACAACACAGAGTTTGTGAGAAAAAATCAATTAATTATTAATTTTATTTAATTAATTCATTTTAGATGTTTACATTTGAAAAAGCTGTGCTTCCTGCATAAACCTGCCAGTGTTGGTGCATACACAGTTACCTTGTTTCATTTCTTAATTCAAGTTATATATATTTTGTTCTATTTGTGTTATTTAAGTTATTTATAATAAGTGAAGCGAAGTTTACTGTTAAGTGCATTGATGTCAGACTCATTTTGAATAACAGCCTAAAGTTTATTGTTAAATTGTTAAATACCCTGCCTCCACTACATAGGCCTATGTTTGTCACATCATTATAAATGTTTGATCACCACATTTGAGTTATCATTTCAAAAAATGTGTTTATGTGTGTATGAAGAGTTTGGTTCCAAAACGTATAAATCCATTTAGATTAATTTGAGTAAAAATGTTTTCTCTTTACCAAGAAATTGGCAAGATGAAAACCACTATTTTCAGTTTCAAACTTTCACATAGCATCTTTAGATTATAATAACATTAAAAATTCAAATCCAGATTTAGATTTTCAAAGATTTATTATAAAATTGTATTATATTTTTCCCAAAATGCAATAAATCCATAAAGTTATTTTTCATATTGAAACTGTTGAAAATACACAACATAGTAAGTTGATCCGCAAATAACAGCCTCTGAACTTGGTCAATACTAATCTTATATACAGGCACTGGACTAAAAATACATTCAATCAGTCATAGCTCCAAAAAAAATTCAACAGGTCATCTTGTTAATGCTATAAATTAATTACAACATTAAAAGAAAATTGCATCATGAACAACAATATCACATTAAACCACAGAAATTCCAAAATGACATTTCCCTTACATTCAACTTCCAAAAGTGCATTCATCTTTGCCATGTTACATTCATTTAGTTGACTAGTGCTATACGCTGTATTAACAAAAACATTAATAATCAAATTTTAAATGGACTTTTCAATACCGACCAGATACAATACAGTTTTTGGCGGAAACTCAAAAAATTAAAAAAAAAAAAAAAAAGGTTTATCGCGTTTTGGAACCAACCTCTTCATATATATTCTGTTTATGTAGGCTATATACTGTATTCTATATACAGTACAAGTCAAAAGTTTGGACACACGAATGGGAAGTGTGTCCAAACTTTTGACTATACTGTACTATAATATAGCCTACACATATGAATATCGGCCGATATATCGGTATCAGTCTTTCTTTACTCCCTAATATCGGTATTGGCCCCCAAAAAACCCATATCAGTCAGGCTCTACATAATACACAAACATTTGTTTAAAAAAATGCTGTTTATAGACATCCTATAAAAATACAGTCAATGGCTGGCAGTATTTTACTATAAATTTACTGTGAAAAGATTTATAGCAAATCTCAGTCAAAATGTGAACTATAATACCATCCAGCTCTAATGTGCTAAATGCAACTATAAGACAAGAATATATTAAGAGATTTTAAATATTAACATCATGATTTTCTGTTAAACTGCTTTTCACAGTGTGTATTGTTAAAAACACTATACAAATAAATTTGATGATTTGAAAAAGCATTTTAGCCATTGAAGCCCATTCAAAATTATCTTTCTATATAAAGTATTCTGATTAAAAAATACATTGCACACAGCATAAACACTGCAAATACCTACCTAGATGTATTTAAGCACCTGGTTCTCTTTGAGAGGCTCTCAAAAACATTAAATTGATTTGCATTGCATCTACTGTCACAGACAATGGAAGCACAATCATTTTGAACAGCAATATTCACTGATGTTAAATTTAAGTTTTAAATGAACTATAATTAATTTTGACCTCGAGCAAATACTACATAGACTTAATTAGACTTTCTTAATTAAATTAGAAAATGAGAGCAAAAGGTAAAATATGAAAAACCCAGGTAATCCAAGAAATAATCAACATACACATCTTACATAAAACACTGTCAGCACTGTAGATCAGGCAGAGGTCGTGACCCTGCACCAGCGATTGAGCTGCAGCACACCTGTGCGGTTTCATTAGGACCGCAGCTGAGAGATTCATCGCAACAGCTGCCCACTCCAACACAAGACTCTGTGAAATACTCTATACATACAGGAAGCTGAAACCAGATACAGCTTCTGTCCAGTGTCCACAGTTCATCTACTAATCAACAATCAATGCTTGAACGTGTCAAATCGACATGGATTGATGTGGATCAATGTGCATGTATTAGTCATGAAATACGAGCTTACATTGAAAATTTAAGAAATTATGGCACAGCTGGGTTGGAGTCAAAGAATGTTTTCAAAACTGTTTCTCTTTAAATGAACGGATGGAGGAATGATATTTAATAGTTTTCATTTATATGAACCGATACAATAATTCACAGCTATAAACAACATTTACAAACAGGCACTTTTACTTAAACATAAAAGAAATGCCAAGCAGAGTGACTGATGCTGCAAATTAATAGCTGAATCAGAGCTTTTGATTGAATTGATTGATTATAATGGGACAGTGTGAAGTGATTCACTGAAATTAATAACTTATCAACCCTAACTCTGTCCACTCTACTGAAGTTTAAATGAGTGTGGCGCTATTAAAACACTCTCATACTCATGAGCCACAAGACAACTAAATCCACAAGTCCACACCACTCCAGTCCATCAATTATCATCTTGTAAAGTGAAAAGTTGTGTGTTTGTAAGAAACAAATCCATCATTAAGACGTTTTTTAACTTTAGCCCATTGCCTTGAGTCCATAATCCATAATACAGTAACGCTTCCTCCAGTGAAAAAGTGGTCTGGTCTGAATAAGGAGAGAAATCTGCATGATCAAGCACCATTTACAAGCCAAAACAGTTCTGAACAAATATGTGGGTGGATTTTGATTTGAAGGATAAAAGGGGATGGAATTTTTAGCTGGAGGAAGTGTTATTATGGATTATGGATTTGTATTTTAGCCTGGAAGCAATGGTTTAAAGCACCTTAATGATGGATTCATAAGACTTTTGTCTTGTCAAGATGTTAATTGATGGACTGGAGTGCTGTGGATTACTTGTGGATTATTGTGATGTTTTTATCAGCTGTTTGGACTCTCATTGTGACGGCACCCATTCACTGCAGAGCATCCATTGGTGAACAAGTGATGCAATGCTACATTTCTCCAAATCTGATGAAGAAACAAACTCATCTACAACTTGAATGACCTGAGGGTGAGCACATTTTACTTCTGTATCATGAAAAACCTGTGTGTGTACCTTGGCAGCCAGGCGTTTAACGGCCTCCTCGCAGCGCCGCTGCAGTTCAGGTGTGCTGGGACAGCTGCTGGATCGCAGGGTGTTGGTAGCGCTGGGCGGAGGGGTCGGCTGAGGCGGCTGACTCAGGGGCAGATCTGAACTCGGCTCCCCACCTGGACATGTGACCGATGAATATCCACATGAGCACAAATATCACCAGCTGCTGCGATTCTACTGAGACGAGTCAAACATCAATACACAAACATCTCAAACTGTCTAGGATAGGGCACAATCATGGACAGAGAACCTTTTAAACAATTTTTTAATAAAAAAAAATTTAAAAATGTTTTTTAATTTTAACATTTATTTAAAAGTGGGAATTTAAAATAAAAATATACTGGAATGATTTGTATGACTGTTTTGAATATACAAGCATCAAAGCCATTTTCTCCCAACTGCACATACAAGTTTTGAACATGTAATTTAAAGGTGGGGTAAGTGATTTTTCAAAAACGCTTTAGAAAACTGATTCGGGCCGAATAGCAAAACAAACTTGTAGCCAATCAGCAGTAAGGGACGTGTCTACTCATGATGTGGAGGAGAGAGAGTTCAGAGCACAGGACGGATATTAGCGAGCCGAGCGACAGAAAGATAGAGATGGTGGATAAAAAACAAAAGAGGAAAACGTCTGCGGAACAAACGAAGGCTTAAGGCATGAAGTAGGACCCGTGTAAATATCGGATCAGCTTTCCAGAGCTGGAGAGAACTCAAGGAGCGGAAGGCCTGCGATCAGACGCCGAGGTTGCTTTGTTTCTTCTCGATAGGTGAGTAACACCGTGTCTGCACCGCAACAGCAGTCTGTCTAGTACACTTGAACCACAAAGCGACCGTTGAAAATCATTTGAAATTTGTGTCAGTACGTCATAAATAGAACACAGCAGCAGTTTTCTGTTGGGGATTTGTCGTGTCGTGTCGCGCCGCATCCAGTGTAGACCATAGATATGTATATATATCTATGGTGTAGACAGCATCACTGATTATAATGAGTTCTATATAGTATTTTGTCGCGCCGCGCCACTCGCGTCCGGTGTAGACATGGTGTAACATTGGTTTTGTTTTGTTTCACAGAACTAATCGTTGCCTGGGTTGCGTACGTATGTGTGGGGCGGAGTTATCAAAATAGGGGTGAGACCCTTTTGGGGTAGGGTCGTGTTTGTTTTGGTGATTTCAAATGTCGACATTGGCTACCAGAAATAGCTTACCCCACCTTTAATGTTTCTTGCAATTAAAAACTAAATGCACAAATTTTTTTACACAATTGATAACATGCCTCAAAAAAATCAAATATGAACTAAAGATTTTTTGAGACTGAAGTACACTACAATTAAAAAATCTGGAGTCAGTACGCTTTATTGGAATACGATAAATTGATCAAAAGTGACAGTAAAGACATTTATGATGTTACAAAACATTTCTATTTTTAACAAATGATATTCTTTTGAACTTTCTATTCATCAAAGAATCATAAAACAATGGTTTCTGCAAAAGTATGAAGCAGCACATCTGTTTTCAACATTGACAATAATCAGAAATGTTTCTTGAGTAGCATTTGAGCATATTAGACTGATTTCTGAAGGATCATGTGACCCTGAAGACTGGAGTAATGATGCTGAAAATTCAGCTTTGATCACATGAATAAATTACACTTTACAATATATTCAAATATAAATTTTATTTTAAATTGTAAAAATATTTCACAACTTTACAGTTTTTACTGTATTTTGGATCAAATAAATGCAGCCTTTGTGAGCAGAAGAGACTTCTTTCAAATGCATTAATAAATCTTACTGACTACAAACTTTTGAACGATAGTGTCTCTCATAATTTGAAGGTAGTGAATGCAAAAAAAGGGAAATTGTTCAAAAAACATTCTTATTTGACAATTCTTCGATGTAACAATTGAAATAAGAATGATTTCATGAGCATTTTACACAATAATTTGTGTGAGAGCATCTGTGCCAATACTCAGGCACGTGTGTTGTGAAAATGTACAAAACTCACTTTTCGGAGATGCGCTTGGGCTGTTGGATGCGATCTGTCGCATGCGGCTGCCATGACAACTGAGGGCCACCAGGCGGGAGATGATGGCGGTTTTGCCGAAGCCCACGTTGCCCACGATGATGGACCCGGAGCTCTCACCTGATTCGCTGGGCCTCAGGTCATCCTCCAGCTGCTGGAACAGCCAATCACGGCCCACGAACACAGAGTCTGTGGTGATGCTGGGAACCTCAAACAGCAGCGGCTTGAGCATGATGTCAGTGGGCTTGTAAGGAGCAAAGCGGGCTGAAAAACAGAAAACATGCAGGTTTACTCATATGCAAACAAAACTTTTTTTTTTTGTTTAAGCTTTATCTGCATGTCTTTTTTCTACTCCACCACTGGCTAGACCTTAGAAGGAAGGTAATACTTAATTATAAAGCTATTTCACTGCAGCAAATGCGATAAAAGATCAAATAATCATAGTTTTTTAAAACTACTGACAGTTAACCTTGCTAAATATGTACTTCAAACACCCTCAATGTCCCTTTAGACTGAGTTTTTACTGTGCATGAGACAAAATATGTGTGAAAGTACATAAAGAAGCCATAATCGGATGAGGGAATAAAGTGCTGTGACATTATATTACAGACTTATCACTTTTAGTAGCTGTTTGCGTGAATATAAATAAACATGGCTGTGTGTGTAGGATATCTGTGTTATCACTGATATTGTGACATTAGTGTCGTATATGCACACTTTTATCGTAGTGAATCTATGATATAAAATAAATATTTTGAGCATGAAAAGTAGCTTGTTTGAGTAACTGTTGAGTAGCATAAAAAGTCACAAACATGCAGCAGTTTTATTTAGTTAATAACTGCTTTTTGGGTTACTCTCACAAAAAATAAAAATAAAACAAATCCAGGATAGTGCACAGTAGGAAAATTTTTTTATGAATTTTGCATTAAGAAATTAAAGCTTTGCTTTAAATAAAACATACAATAGTCTTTTTACATTTTTGCAAAGGTGACACCTAAAAAAACACCTTAATGCAATGATTGTTTTATTTAAATCAACAATTATTCAAAAGCTAACCTCTATAAGAACATGAAGCTGATCATGTTATGATCACACTGATGTTAGTTCCTTTATATTGACATGCACAAAGAGTGATATTTAATATTTATAAACTATACATACACATATAAGCATGTACTGCATTTCAGATAAAACTGAATCTATCTACCCTCACACACCTAATACACGGCCTGCAAAAACTGGAATAAAAACAACTGGAGCTGAATGCTGCACTGATAGGAGCTGATGAATCTCTGCTGCCACTGGCTGTGATTGAATCAAACCTCTGATGTTCCTCATTATTTATCAGAACATTCAACCAGCTCAGAATAACAGCTCAACACCGACACACACGCAGCAGCTCCTGCAGAACACACATTAGCTCGACCCTCAGGGTACACCAGCGTTTATATAAGAGAAAGAGACAAACAGAAAAACACATGTATTTAACTATGTTCTCTTGCATTATTAATGGACTTAACCATTTAAAACACTTCCTTTCACCACAGGAAGTGTATGGAGGGGGTTTGCTTATTCGCATCCAAGTCCTGAATGGGTAAAAGGATCTATACAGAAAGTCTCTCAAAATGTTATGTTTTTACAGATGACAAAATAAAATAAACCAAAAGAGCATTCAACCGTTTCAGACTGTACAAGGGTGAATCTCACCAAACCGGTCAATAAAATATTTAGGTAAAATTTTATTTCACAATTAACAAAAAATATAAACGCACACCTAAATGTTGTGGAGCAAGTTCTGAATAAATAAAGAGTTGTGTAGTTATTTTTGGGGGGGGTCAAAATTTATGCCAAAATCAAAAGAAGATCGAAAAAATATTTTACATAAAGTAAATTAAGCCTTTTCAGTAGCCTAAATTCTCATCAGTAATAATTCCTATTTTTTTATTTAAATGCATTTCAAAAATTAAAGACAAAATTAGAACAAATAATATTATTTATGACAATTTAAATAATGTTTTAAGGTGACATCTGAAAAAGCACCTTAATGCAGGGATTGTATTCTTAATATAATTTTTACATTTCCCCCCCAAATATTATCACTGATGACAATTTAAACAATGTTTTTTTGGATGAATGAGAATTCATTTTCTTCCTTTTTTTTGTTTTGCATGAAGGTAATAAGAATTTGGGGTGAAAATGTCATGCAAATTATGAATTATTCGATGTTTAATGAGGATCCTACAGAACTAAAGAGGAGAAACCAAGCTGATAGAAACAGCTGCATGATGGGATTTTGGAAGTACCTTTGTCGTGTGGAGCTCTGCCGCCGGTGTTGTGCCAGGGCAGGCGGATGGACGTACGCAGGGGGGTGTTCCGCTGTTCATCAAGATAGCTCAGATCCTCCAGCTTAGTGGAGCTCGTCGCTGCACAAAACACAGAGAAAAACAGCAGCTTAGCATTATGGGTAGAATCAATGCATAACAATAAGATCAAGACCAGGTAATCACAGCGTGCCGATATAAACGGTGAAGCAGTTGGAGGAGCTCTGTCACACTAATAGCGCACTCTTATCAGCCAATCAGTTTCGAGGACCAGAAAAAACTGTTGTTCGTTTTTTTTGTACAAATTTCTATTTTTATTTCAGTTTTAGCAATTTTAGTACTAACTATTTTATTTCTTTAGTTGCCAAAGCTATTTTTAATTTTGGTCTAATATTCATTTTTATCTTAAATAATATATAAAGATTATAAAAAGATTATTTTTAGTAATTGAGATTTGAAAACTTTTTAATAGTTTTGACTATAGTTTTAGTTAACAATAACAAGTAGTGAAATCATGGGTCCTGCTATTTAAAAGTGACCACCGGCGACACCAAACTGAACTGTAATAATAACTGTTTTCAAACAGGTTTCCCTCTGTCTGATATTGGAGGGAAAAATAAGATGCATTGATGCCATATAAAGAGGATGAATGTGAAACAGATGTCCACTGCAGTTCCCTACAGATTCAGGTCTTGGTTAAAGGTCGCTGACCGCAGCGTTCGCATTGACCATAAACGCGAAATCGTGGCGGGAGAAAGATGACATCATCCCGAATGCAAATCTCCGGCAGCGACCGTAATAACCACAGTAAAGAATGAATGGCGAACAGAACCAGGTCACTGAGCAAACACACACACACAGACTGAACAATCAGAGACGTTTCAAAAGCAAAGCAACCCATTTAAATTAAACAGAAGTAAAAAACTCGAAAAAATACAAACACCAAATCTTGCAATATTTCACTTTTTTTCAAGCTGTGTGACAGAAGCATGTCATTCAGTGCATGGCCTCTAATGTGCATCCATGCATCGCTGTCTGAAACTAATGCACCAGCAACCTGCTCTGAAACTACTTTCTGCTCTGGATACTCACAGACTGACGCGTTCTTCAGGCAAAGACAGACGCAGCCCCGCAAACCTCAGTTTCCTCAGGGCACCTCCATGTTCACTCATTCACATTCAACTGGTGAACCGCACCGCAGCCCGAGTCTCTCTCCCCGGCTTCACCGCATCGCTGAACGCATCCACAAGAGAAAATCACAGCCGCAGTTCCCCGCTCCGCAATCCCAATGAAAGAACAGACGGAAAAAAGAAGAGAGATGAAAGGGAGGAGGAGGTCTCTCTATCTCTCCTCTCCTACAGAAATAATCTATGATCCTCCCGGAGAAAAAGACTGAAAGCTGAGAAAACAGAGCTGAAGGAGAGTTTGGACAGGAGGGAGACGGGTGATGGAGGGAGGAGCGAGTGCGGGAGTGAGTGAATGAGCAAATCAGCTGCGCACCTTTCTGCCATCAGTGAACTGCTGCATTTCTCATTCACATTCAGCTTTAAACAAGCTCACAGCGCCACATGCAATACTACAGACTAGGGCTGGGTATATGGCAGAAAATTATTTGTTGACCAATTCAAGATATCAATTTTGATTTATTATTATTATTATTATTTTTGTCATTTAACTAATCAATTTATCTACAACATGATTCAAGTAACATTTTCTTTATTAACCATCTAGTTAAAGAAAGCTCTATTATAAGTTGTCAACATGGTGTAAATGTAAAACAAATTACTTGTAAAATATCTTTGCAGAAAAAATGCATGAAATATGAAGGCACATATTGTACAAACTAAAACATAGTATGTTCAGAAATAACAAGAAAAACGCAACAACAAAAAAAGTCTCAATAAGTCAAGTTAATTCAAATTCCAAAAAAAAATATTTAATTCAAATTTAAAACGACTGCAAGTATGACACCAGTAGACTATTATGAGTGTTTTGGGTGGTTGCTAGGTAGGTGTTTGAGTGTTCTATCTAGTTGCTAAGGTGTTGCTGTAGTGTGAGCCCAGCTTAAGTGCTTGGGTGCTAATGTGTTGCTAGGTGTTTATCAGGGTGTTCTGGCTGGTATATGGTAAATAATGGACTCATGAATATGAATTATCTCACATTGCTAGGTAATGTCCACAGACTGTCCAGTCATGTTGCCTAATTAATATTCACAAGTCACGGGTTTGCACCGTTCATGATTTGATCCTGTGCAGATGTTCTTCACTGCTTTGGCATTGAGACGCAATATCACAGATATCTGCGCAGATATTTTTACATTAACATTTTAATATTAATGAATAAATAAGATTAAGGCTGCACCAGTGTGCATTTCAGAAACGCCAAGACTAAACTGTCAAAGATTAAACACCAAGGTAAGATTAAAAATAATATGCATAAAAAACAAGAAATTATTAAAGTTGTAAACAGTTAAACTCTACATAAATGTAAGTTTTTATCTACTTGGCTTATAACCAAACTTCAAACTTCAAGGCAACATTAAAAAACTTTGCATTTATAGTCAAAAAACAACGTTGTTGAATTTCAATTCACTTTAAATCTTTAAATACCTCCTTAAATATAAACACTACAAATTCAAATTTGAAATTCAATTTTGTGTTCGGTTTGCTACCTCAACTCAAATTCAGAAAGTAATTATTACCCTAGTAATATTTACCTATAAAAACATTAAAAATAACAATTAATTATTACTAATTAATAAGGATGCATTAAATTTACCAATTCCAAATTATGTTGATTTGATTTGGAATTTAGTAATTATGAACCTATTAATAATAATTACCGATAAAAACATTAAAATTAATTATTAACTAATACTAATTAATAAGTATGCATTAAACTGGCCAATTCCAAATTCAGTTGATTTGATTTGTAATTTACTAATTATTAAACTATTAATAATATTTAATTACAAAAACATTTATAATAAGTCTTAATTGTTAATAATTAATATCAACAAATAAGTATGCATTAAAATTATTTTTAAAAATCAGTTCTGAATGCTGCGCAATCCTTGTGGAAAAAGCACTTTTACCTGCTTGAAATAATATCAATATTATACAAATTACAGCAGTAATGTGCTTTTAAATGAAGCCAAGAGAGGTACAGCAGAGTATTACTGTACATATTTTAATATCTGCCGACAGGAACGTGGGCGAAAAGAGGCTCCTGGACAACAAGTGTCTCTGCTACAGCATTTCATTCACACAGAACCAAAGTCTGAATCTTAAACATACTTTATCACTATAGTTTCACTGCCTCACAAGCCCTGCTGTTGCCTTCAGGAAATGTACATCTAGTTTACACTGTGACTCCACCGGTCAAAGCAGCGTGTATCTGATGTACAACACGAATGCATATTGATAGCCCATCTGTTTTTTAAAACCAGAATGTTTCTGTTTTTGCATCTGTGTGTGTGTGTGTGTGTGTGTGTGTGTGTGTGTGTGGGATGAATCCATGGACAGATTTAATATCATGGATTAGTCTATCTGCTGTTGTATTGATCTTCCATAATCTCCACTTGCTGCTTGATTACTGCTGCTCAGACTGATCGCAAATAAGTGGCATGTTAATGCTGTCCTCAAAAAAGTACATATTTCAACCGGAATTCAAAAGAAAAAATATATTTTGCTTAAAAAAACACAATTATATTGAGGTAGATATTGAATATTGTCAAAAGGCTGAATAGTTCTAGTGAAATGAAAGCAGAAGAGGCAGCAGCTCAGTCGAGCCGAACACAAGCAGCCACAGCTGAAGCCACCAGTGATTCCAGATGCACCGTCACTAGAGCGAGTGCTTCTCACTGAATCCTTCCAGCTGTCAGGAAAGAGGAAAGCTGGAAACAATGCAAATGTACATGGCACATGTCTTTTCCCAGGACAGGAGCCAGAGCCACAGAGTGAGACATTTACCCACAAACCCAACCAAAACACCACAAGTGATCATTGCTCATCATGACCATGTGACATACTGTGACCCGGAGTCCTGGAGACCAGCAGGAGAACCGCTCGAGTACCAACTAAAGCAAAACTTTCAATTCAGTTTCAAATTCATCTTTTGCTGTAGTGAGTCAGTAGGAAATATCAGTTTACATTTCCAAACATTCATTTTGCCATTAATTGTAATAATCCAGTGAGATTTTGTGCTCCCCACTAGGGCGGTCAAAATGGCTGAAAAACTAAATTCGAATTTTGTACTTAAATTATAAAAATTCAAATTATATTCGAATTTAAAATGCATAATTTCAGTTAGGGTGAAGAAAAGCTTTTGGCTTCTCTCCTGAGGCCACAAGAGGGCGCATCATTCAAAGCATAAGATAACATGACTATCTGCGGAAAAAAAAAAGTGCATACGTTTTTGCATTCGAATGTGGATTTTTATTTTAAATCTGACGAATATTCGAAATTTGAATTTTTTTTGACAGATCTGATCATCAGTCTGTCTGGAATGACATGAAGAAACAGAACAAACTGAGACAGACTCAATCCAGAAGAACTGTGGCAACGTCTCCAAGATGCTTCAAGAGATCTACCTGTAAAGCTACAGTACTGTTAAAAGTTTTAGGCACTTGTGTAAAAATGCTGTAAAATGAGGATGCTCTCAAAATAATGCCATAAATAGATTTTCTTTATCAATTAACTTCTATTAACTAAATTTAATCAACATTTGGTGTGAGCATCCTTTGTGTTTAAAGCAGCTTTTGCCCTCGATGCACTTGAGCAGAGTTTTTCAGGAGCTTTGCTATTTAACAGTGTTGGGTGTAATTAGTTACTAATTAATTAGTTACTGTAATTTAATTACTTTTCCCATGAAAAAGTAAAGTAGGGGATTACTCTTATTTTTTTCTGTAATTTAATTAGTTACTTCTTATGTAATTGAACTTAATACTGTGTATAGACTGTAAAACATTTATTCACAATACAATAGTTGATTTAACATCAAAATGTAAAGTCTAACCTTAAAATGCATGCTTTTTATGTACCCTTCTCACTTTAAATACTTTGGTGAGTTAATAAGAATATTGGTAACACTTTAGTGTCCAATTCTCACTATTAACTAGTTGGTTATTAGCATGAATATTACTGGGATGTCTTATTCTGAAATAATGAATAAAGTCTTATTCTAAAAGACCTTATTCTAAATCCTTAATCCTACCCAATGCAAAAGTCTAACCTATCATTATCATTAACTTGATCACGAAAGTGTCCAACCTATCATTAACTTGGCATGGTTAATATAGGATTTAGAAAGTAATTAGTAATAAGTAATTAAATACTTTTTGGAGAGAGCAATTTGTACAGTAATCTAATTACACTGTTGAAGATGTAATTAGTAACTAGTAATTAATTACTTTTTAAGAGTAACTTACCCAACACTGCTATTTAATATATGAAACATTTTATTAATATATTAAACGTATTATAATATTTATATAATAACATTTTGTTATACATACATACATACATACATAATAAATAATTTATATACATATATAAAAAGTTCTCAGAGCTGTATGGCAACAATTATTTTGCCAATTTGTTTTGACAGTGCTGAAAAATACTTTTAAAAAAACAAGTTGTTTATTGTTACTTGTGTTGGACGAATTAAATTCTAACTGTAATTCAGTAAATTCCTCTTCCTGACATTCCAATAACATTATACGTGGACCTCAGAGAACAGCACAAAACAAAAAACAGAAGCTGTTCATGACCCCTTTAATGAATCAAGGGAACGAATTAGTATGTAGTCAAGATTTACTAAAATGAGTTAGTTTAATGTGGCAATGAATTACTAAAATGTAAGAACAAATTAGTATGAGGCCACGATTTACTAAAACAAAAGAAAGAAATCAGTGTCGTTGCATTATAATGTTTTTGTTAGCCTATCCAGTTGAAGCAACTAGATGCACCGCTGCTGCGTGCGTTGTTCATTAAAAATATAGCGGAAAAAGAGAACATCAATGCAGAGAAGATCTTGTTTACATCAAAACCAAAACAAAGCCGTTCACACATGACTACACAAGTGAACAAATTTGTGTAATTTAGCCACAATTTAGTAAAACGGGGGAATGAATTTGTACGAGGCCACAATTGACTAAAACAGCAGTTTTCAA